CAATAGTCCCATGTTGGCCAATAGCTCCTGGGATTCTGGGAGCTGAAGTCCCTTGGCCTTTAAAGGGGAAAGGTTGCCTACCCCTGCATTAGTGGTTTAAAAACAAGAAACACCTCTTATGAACTTGGAGCTAAATGTTCACTATGCATGAAGCAAAGACTATTTTTTAAAAACTTCCAATAAATGTGCAGAGTCCCACTCTGGCTCAGAATAATTATGAGACCCATCTCAAGATGCTCAAAAGAGGAATTGTTTGTTAGCTGAAAACCCCTGCTCAGTGCAAGATCTCCACTTAAAGCAATGTCCAGCCACTTTTTGAAGATGTCCAGAGAAAGAGACCCCACCACCTCTCCAGGCATTTGGTTCCATTGCTGAACTGCACTTACTGTCAAGATGTTTGTTCCAATATTAAATCCAAATCTGCCCTCCTGTGACTTAAAACCATTGCACCTGGTTCTACCTTCTGGGGCAGCAGGGAACAGGCCTGCCCCCTCCTCTCTGTGACAGTCCTTAAGGTATTTAAAGAATGCAATCCTGTCACTCCTCAGTCTTCTCTTTATCAAGCAGAACATGCCCAGCTTCTTCAACCTTTCTTTGTATGTTTTATTTTCCATACCTCATATCATCCTTGTTGTCTTTCTCTGAACATCCACTATTAACGGATATTGCTTCTACTATTTTCCACAATTATCTTTTCTACACTCGATAATGACATTTAAAAAAAAGAATCTATGCTTGTCATTTATGCTCAGCTTATTGCTATTAATTTTGCTGTATTTCATGAATGCTTATTATGTTGCTTTTTATATTTTCCCAACATGGACACAACTTGAAAACCAGGTTGGGAGATTTTTTTACCCAGTAAAGCAATGTATAATGTAGATATGCTTAAGATTTTTTAAAAAAAGAAGAAAAATAATTTAAATATAATGAGTAACTTGTGACAGGCACATTACCTACAGGTACAGCGCTGTAGCCTCATGTGGTTTCTTGGCATACTAGACTCTCCAGACCATCATGTCCCTGGTCTAGAGAGTCTAGTAAAAAAAGGGTGAAAGGGGTAAACAACATCTCTTAGAAGCCTTCAGGGAAGCATGTTGTCTTTTAAATAGGTTGCAGGGCCCTTCCGCAATGTTTAACTGCAATCATCATCATCATCCCTTGCACATTACATAGACATATGTAGGGAAAGAAGTGGTTAGAGAACAAAGCTTTGACCAAGATTAAACAAAGATTTAAACTATGAGGAAAGGAAAAGAAGAAAAGAGAAAGAATGATGATATGGACAACAGACAGAGAGAATGGCCAGTTGGGTGAGGGACAGAAGAGAAAGAATGGGAAGGAGGGTAGTTAAAGGTTAACTGTTAAATGTATTTTATGTTTTCATGTTTTGAAATTGCTCCTCCATGATTCTCTATAGTTCCTGGTCATTGGCTTTCTTTTATGTCCTCCATTCTTAGCTCAATTATTTGCAAAATAAGAAATTATATAAATCAAACAAATACACGCAAATAAACTACGACTTATTTTGAGCATTGCTTGGAACAGCACCATCAGCCCTGCGGATCAATCCCTCCCACTAAAGAGGGGATATTGTATGAGAGAATAATGTTAATGAATTCTCTTTTCCAAAGCAGTGGGATACACTTTAGAAAATGGATTCCCTCCTGCTGACACTGATGTTATAACATTGATGGAGAAAAATCAGGAATTCAATAAGTCAATAAGAGCAGGCTCTTCTTAACTGCTTTTTCTGCTCTAGCAACAACATTTCAGCCCATGGATTTAAAAAGCAGCTCAGCCATTCTTTTACAGCTTGGAGCACTCTTTTTCCGCCAGAGTGAAATTCAGGGCACGGCATTAGCTTAAAAGGAATAAGCATCAACAGGATAAACTCTGCTCTTCTTTGCTTAGGTGAAACTCCCTTTGAATCCGATGGAAGTTTGATCCATGTAACTGAGAACAAGCTTTAATGGTAAAGGTACAGGGCTGCTGCTATGCCACGCAAATTCAGAGTGCAGCTGTGTGCAAAGAATTACGGATTTGCTGGCTTAACGATTAACTTCTTTATCCTTCTTAAAACTTATTATGACATCATCTTTTGAAGCTCTCATTGATTAACTCACTGATTCCTTCAGCATAAAGCACTCTGGCCAAAGCTTTTGTGGACAGTGAAATTAAATGAATGGTTTCACAAACTACCTGTTGGAAACAATACACTGAGCACAAGTATCTGAAACTGGGATCAAAGGCACTTGATTCTAGTCAGAGGCAGAGAGCTGCAATGGTCTGCATAGGGCTGCTGAAAATGAGCAGCAAATTAATGGATGTTGAGACACAGGTGTAACACTGTGGCAATGGGAATGACACAGCAAAAGCAAAAGTTTGATTCATCTGCTGTAGCGTAATTGCATGAAATGGGTCAATGGTCTAATGAAAAGCTATCTTTGCATCCTTATTTGATGCTGGAAGGGGTGTGAACAGCATAAGATGATGTATTTGAGAGCCAGAGCAGAAAGGAACAACAGAAACAGAAGGTGCTTCTGGAAAAGGAGAGCTACAATTACAACACAGGATGGATGGCTGTATTTGAAAATATGACCCATATTGTTGACGCACGAAAAATATAAGTCCACGTCCCCTCATGACCTTGGAAATTGCTTCAGATTTGCATCAGCAAAGTCCTCTGCATATTTTCTCAGAAGCAAGTCTCTTTAAGTTTCAAGGAGAGCCAGCATGGTGTAGAGATTTGGGCACTGGACTGCAACTGTGGAGACCAGGGTTCAAATCCCTACTCAGCTATGGAAATCCATTGGATGACCCTGGGCAAGTGGCAGCCTTTCAGCTTAAGAGGAAGACAATGGCAAACTTCCTCTGAATAAATCTTGGCTCAGAAAAACCTATGATAGGGTTGCAATAAGTCAAAATGGACTTAGAGGAATTATCTTGCTTTCTGTGGCAGAATAATTTAGCTAGCTTTGGATGCTATGCATGTCAACCAATGGACTTGTGTTGGTGGGCAGACATAATTTTCTCATTGCCTCAAAGTATTGCATGACGATTAATTGTGTCACCTGTGATGAATTAATGTTAAAGTGTTTGCGATATCCATTTTCAAAAACAAGAAAATGACAAAAGATATTATTTTTGCTTGGTACTGAGTAATATTTTTATTTGTTAGTTATTATTTGAGGGTACTGGGCTAAGCTGGACTCCTATAGCTTACCTTAATTATATGAGGTGGCTGGATTTTTTTATTATTTTTTAAATGCCTTTAATTCAATTCCTGCAAAGAGGAACGGGTTCCTGTGATATTCTGAGCTTGTAAAATAAGATTAGGAGAATAATTTTCATTTTGCAGTAATTCCTTTGCACTCTTTCACTTGTGAGCGTTAAGACAAGGTGGACAAGAGGATAAAAATGATTATTTTTTTTGTTATTTATAGGGAAGGATAGAAATTTTCTGTAATATCTGTTTGGGGGAAAATCAATCAAATAATAAATGAACAATAGCAGAAACAGCAAATCATGTTTCTTCAAATCAAAATTCCTGTCCAGAATATTCCCAAATTATGTTGTAATGAAGACTGCTGGAATTCTGCCCACTCTCTGGTAGCCATCTGTTCCTTTGCCTGTTTATTTTTTCATGTCCATGTTTCTTTGAAAGAGAGTGCGCCCAGCTTTCAAACATGAAGCAAATCGACAATTACGAGCAAAGAAACAGGAACTGTGCTTTGAACCAACACCAAGAAAAATACATTCCCATCGAAAGATACTTATTTCCCATGATCCCATTATTATAAAAAACTCATTCCCTCACCTGTTGTTGCACTGGACACGGTTGGCCACTGCTGCTCAGGTCCTCCTGGTCCTGGGCGTAAGCCTCCTGCCTCCTCCATATGCACAGCACTAAACAAATATACACACCGATTAGGTTTTACAGGTCTCACAAAACAAGACACAGCTTTTCATATAATGAACATTGTCCTTTTGACTATATCTCCATAGAGGGCAAAGGCATATAGTAGCTCATAATCTGCATAAATCCTCTGCAATGTAAAATTATTGTTGAACCCTCTAATTTTTCAGTTTGCAAATTCTGCAATACTGGACCTTTGTTGCATGTTTGCATTCAACAACTTAATTCAGGGACATCATGTTGCACAAATGTTGCCTTTATAGAATGGTTTGTTTCCATTAATGAGATATGACATGTCTAACATGGTTGGGAAATCACTGAATCCCAGCAGTATTTATGCCTTACTGTTGAAGTAAATAATGAAACACTCTCTTGTCAGTTTCAGACATCCTCCAGCCTGCTAATATTAACCAAACCTATACAGCAAACAGTCTGCTGTAATTTACAATACCCAACAGTGATTGCACCTTGTGCCTTTGGCTAGCAAAAAGGGAGAACATCAGGAAGCATTCCACATAATCTTTTCCTCATACATCACATGGGGAACATTCTGCTATGAATGACACCAGCAAACTCCATTGCCACAAATTATTATGTTGTGAACTAAAATGGAAATGGCAAAGAGATGAGTGCACTGAAAAATAAATAAATAAATGCATGTGTTTTATGCACTGTACAAGAAACTAGAATCCAGAATTTGGGAAGGGTCAGTTGTTATCTTGCATTTCTGGCAAAAATGTTGTCATTTCTACACTGTTAATAATAATATAATAATAATTTTTATTTAATACCCCGCCCCTCTGAAACCAATTGAGGCATCTTACAGATAATGTTGTTTAAACAGAGATCATTTCTAGGCCCAATCATTTTCCTCTGTTAATTGCGCATTGCATATCTCAAAGGAGGTGCCAAATAATCTAATTTTTTTTATACCTGATTCCACTCTAGCTGTCTTATAGAGTTGTTGTTGTGTGCCTCCAAGTCATTTTTAACTATGATGTCCCTACAGAGATGGTTTGCCATTGCCATCATCTGAGGCTGAGAGAGTGTGATTTGCCCAAGGTCAGCCAGTGGGATCTTACGCTTGAGCAGGGATTCAAACTCTAGTCTCCAGAGTCACAGTCGCATGCTCAAACCACTACACCATGCTGGCTTTTGCCTTCTGGAGATGCCCCTACAACTGCTACTTGCAGGCTACCACATGGGGCAAAATGTTGGGTTTATATATGGCAGACCAGCAGGATTTCTGTTCTTGCTCAGGTATGAAACTCATTCTGTTTGGTTTTAGCTGAAAAGGTCATTCTCCTTCACCAAACCACCTAGTTATTGGAAAATCAGATAATATAATAGGTTTAATATAAAGGAGTAATAAAACAATAATAATTATAATAAATTAATGCAAGAACCTGTGGACGTGAATGCATATAGAAGCAATTTTTGTTATGGATGAAGAAGGTGGAGATCATTAAAACGAAGAAGAAACTTTAATGGGACAGGACAGTTTAATAGCTGAAGTAATTGGTAATTACTCCTTAATGCAGGGGTAGGCAACCTAAGGCCCGGGGGCCGGATGCGGCCCCACAAGGCCTTTGGACTGGCCCCAGGCCACTCCTGCCACCACCACCGCTGCCGCCCCCACCGCTGCCGCCCACCATGATGATATTGATTATTGTTGTTATTACTTGTTCTTGGGGTTTTCTTTGCAAAATCTCCACAGTGGTTTTGCCATGGCTTTTCTGGGGCTGAGAGAGTGTGCATGCATATTTTTTAAATTTTTCTAATTTTTTAAAATTTATTTATTTATTTATTTATTCATTGCAAGCCAGAATTCCACCTTGACTAAACTGTTTGGAAACTTCAGAGGATCTAAGATGCTACAGCCAGGTTGCTGACTGGGACTGCTCCCACAATGCAGTATTAAATTAGTTTGACACTGGTTTAACTATCACAGCTCCATCCTATAGAATCCTGGGATTTGTAATTTCTTGTGACACCAGAGCTCTCTAAGAGAGAAGGCTAAATATTTTACAAAACTACACATCCCAAAATTCCACAGTACATAACCATGGTAGTTGTAGTAGTGTCAAACTGTATTAATATTGCAGTGTTGATGCATTATAGGGATGATAACAGCCCCATTGCAAAAACAGCTCTATTGACTGCCAATCCATTTCCAGATGGAATTCAAAGCACTGGTCATGACTTTTAAAGCCCTACGTGGCTTGGGCCCAGACTATGGGCTGATGCAGATGGCCCATTTGGGGCGCCACAGAGTCACCCCTGAAAGCGGCGGACCAGGGCCGAGGCAACCGCACACCGCGGCCATGATCCTCCCTTTTACTGCCCCTAAAGGAGCGGCTAAATTCCACTCCTTTTAGGGGAGGCAAAAGGCCATCCCAAGAGCCGGCACCATGGCTCTTCTGTGCCCTTTTGGCACAGCATGTTTGCACGCTGCGCTGGGAGGGTGTCTTGACACTGCACACCGTGCACACGGCCGCACAGCATCAGGACGGCATTGGGATAAGGTTGGGGTGGGTGGCGTGCGGCTGCTCCACCCCAACTCCACCTCCAGGCCGGCCCTTTGGGTCGGTCTGCAACAGCCCTATTGTTATTTGAAAAACCATGGGGGGTTGCAGACTGCCAGAAATAGTGCAAATTGAGTCCACTTTAAGGGTTAGGGTTAGTGCTAGGGAATCATGGGAATTGTTTTTTTTTCTGAGACATTGAGCCTTCTCTATCAGAGAGCTCTGGTGCCACAATAAACTACAGTCCCCATGATTCCCTAACCCTAACCCTAACCCTAAAAGTGGATTGAATTTGCACTATTTCTGGAAGTCTGCAACTCCCCATATCTCCTTATATGAGCCTTCCTGAGCTCTGAGGTCTTTGTGGGAAGGCTTTCTCTTGGTCCCACTACCATCATAAGACTGATTGATGGAGACATGAGATACCTCTTGGCGGCTGCTCTCAAGTTGTGGAACTCTTCCTCACAAAGTCCGATTGTCCCCCTCCCTGCTATTTTTCAGCCGACAGGTAAAAACCTTTTTATTTAAGGGGACACTCCTTAGCACCAGGACAGTTAAAGTGGCCTCAGTTTGCACTATTTCTGGCAGTCTGTAAAGGCCCATATGTATTTCAATATGTTGCACAGATGGGCCTTTTAACAGAGGTGTTGTGCTTCTATTTTATTATGCTGTATATCTTTTTTTAACTGCTCTTAGGCTACACAGTTAACTTGTATTTTTAAACAGAAGTCTAGTTTGTTTATGTTTTAATTTTTATATTGTAAGTTTTGTTTAGTTGCTTTGTATTTTTGAAAGATTGTATGCCATCTTGGATCCCATGCTGGAGGAAAGGCAGGGGGCAAAAATAAGCAAACAAACAAATAAGAGGAAGGTATATGAATACATACCCTTGCATGCCAGCTCTTAAGGACGCTGAATAACGCCAGTCAGGATTGGGTGGTTTTGGCTATAAAACAAAACAAGAGAAAGAGATCAATATTAATTTCCATTTAAACACATTTAAAAAGCAATGTATTATAATCTAGAGTTCCATCCAGAGTTCATCCATAGAGTTTGTATTTCTTGCCAAAAAAAAAAAAAGCACATAAATATATTCATTTTTAAAATGCAAGAGAAGTGCCAACCTCTTCACATTATATAGGCCATAGGAACTTTTGAATAATTACACCAGAGCAGGAGCAAGCAATTTCTTACTATCCAGGGCCAAATTTTTTACCCAGAAGATCCACTATGGACCACAACAGCCCTAGAAATGAATAAAAGAAAAGAATCAAGAAATGGCCTCTGGACTCTTTACTTATTTTTTAAAAAATGTGGGTTTTCTGAGGTTTGGCAGCCCCTGTGGCTTTTTTAGGTCCAAACCTGCTTTCCAAGTCCAAGGGTGTATCCACAGTGCATAATTATAGCAGTTTGATGCCACCTTAACTGATTTGGCTCCTAAGGAATCCTGGGGTTTGTAGTTTTGAGAGGTATACAGAATTCTCTGTGTTAGAGTGTAGTCACATTGTGGAAATAAAGAGTTTGATGCCACTTAATTGTTTTGACTCTATCCTGTGGAATCCTGGGATTTGTAATTTGGAGAAGCACCAGAGCTCTCTGACAGGCCAGGCTGAATACCCTCTCACCAAACTAAAAACTACAAATACCAGGATTCCACAGGACAGGGTCATGACAGTTAAAGTGGTGTCAAACAGCTTTATTTCTGCAATGTGGAAACATAGGGTGCATCTACACCAGTGATTCCCAAAGATGGGGGCATCATCGCAGGGAGCGGGAAGATCCAGGGGGCAATGAGGAAAAAGGGATGGCAGGGGGCCCCTTTAATCAAAAGTATGGGTGCACAAGAAAGAAAAGGGAAACCAGCAGCCTTTAGGACCATGGTGGGGATGGGGAGTTAGAGTATGTGGTGGAAAAAAGGGGCTTTCACATTTGGGACCCTGTTTAAGCTTTGTCAGCTGAGCTGGGACCTGGCTGGCAGGGTGGAGTTGTACTGCTGCTTCTGCTTTCTTTCTGTGGGCAAGCTGAGAGAAGAGGTAGCAGAACAGTCTGACCATACTTCCTCGAGACAAAAAGGGAACACTGGGATGGCAAAAACAGGATGGGGCTATGTAATATTCCATATTCATGAAAAAGTAAGATGATAACAAAGGTATTATTCCAGGAGCCTATTGAGCTAACAATTATTCTTCAGTGACAGAACTCATCCAAAACTTTAGGAAGCTGTAGAGGGGAACTATATTTCATCACAATCGTACCATGGATGTTTCTCCTACGCAGCCAATTTCAGTCTTTAAACACCTTATCATAAAACTTCTCACACTTTTGTTTTTTAGGTTTGTTTTGTTTTTTTGTTTTGTTTTTTTACAATCCCAATTTCAAACAGGGTTCTTTAACCCATTTTTTGCAATGTAATAGGGCATTTTTCTTGAAAAGGGGACAAAATTGACATTTATATTAAAACAACAGGACAGTCTGGAAATATTGGGGGGGGAACAGTACTATTCCATTCAAAATGGTACGTATGGTCAGTCTATAACAAAAAAAACAATGTTTGCTGTGTCGGGGATGAATTGAAGCTGTGTGGGGAAGGCATGGCTCTGAGGAAGATGGAGAAGGAGTATCCAAGGTAGATTCTTTGAAAGAATCCTTTGCTTCTCTTGCCTCTCTCTCTTGAGAGCCCTTCCTTGCTGCAGAGAAATGTGGGAAACTGGTTGTAGCTTTTTCCACCCTGGCAAAGATGGACTGAGAGTCTTTCCTTGCTGGGAGGAAGCTTCTCCCTTTGCACCCGGTCACTTTGGGAGCAGCAACCAAGCAACTGAGCAGCTACTAAGAAGAATCTTGCCCATGCTGGTCTTTGCTGCAAGGCTGGTGCAGAAGAGAGGTTTCTGGGTTGCTGCTCAACTGGCCTCTTGGTTGCTGCTCAACCAGCTGCTCAGCTGTTGCTCCCTTTGCACCGTCACTCTGGGAGAAGCAACTGAGCAGCTGGCCAGTTGGCCTTTCTTTTCCTCTAAGGCCAGCATGGGCAAGAGGGAGGAGCAGGGCTGAGCTGCTGCCGCTGCTGCATTTACACATGAGAGGCTGAAGGTGGAGAAGAAAGCAGTGGCATGGCTGAGGTAGATGCTGCTGGCCAGCTGGCTGCTGCACAAGCAATAGATTTAGTATCAATAAATAGCTATTGGGGAGTATACTAGAGTTGTCACTCAAGAAGAAAGGGGGTAGTAGCCCCCCAAAATTTGGGGACCACTAATCTACGCTACAGAAGAACTGCAGTTTGACACTGCATTAAGTACTCTAGCTCCATCTTATGGGATCCTGGGATTTGTAATTTTACAAAGACTTTAGTCTTCACTGCCAAAGAGAGCTAGTGACTCACAAAACAACAAAACCCAGGGTTCTCTAGAATGGAGCCATGAAAATTAAAGTGGTATCAAACTGCATTATTTCTACAGTGTAAATGCACCTTGTGCTAGCGAGTTCTAACTGTAATTTAGGAAAGTGGACTGGAGTTCTCTAGCAGAAAATTCTGAATACCTCACCAAAATGCAAATGCCAACATTCCTCAGGCTGGAGTTTTGGTGGTTAAAGTGGCATCAGACTGCTATAAATGTATAGTAAGGAACAAATGTTC